TAATAGGAGGGGTAAAATACTCCTTTTTCGAAGCTAATTTAAGATATCCTTTATAAATAGCTCTCCGTTAGACCGTATCTTTTTTACCTTATAGCTAAAGTAGGATTTTATCTAGTTAACGAAGTCCTAAAAGGTAGACTAGTTATACTTACTTAGCTAGGTCCGTAAGAAATAAGGGAAAACTATCCTTAAAAAAGCGTCTATAAAAAACATTACCTTAATAAAGCTTTCTTAGTCCTTAGAGACGTCGGTCTAGTCGACCTAAATTTCCTTATATAGCTAGTCTAGCTATAAAGGGGTTCGTTTAGAAATTCGTCTCTTAGTCTTTCTTTAGCTATAGTATTTATATTCGATAGTCTTTAAGCCCCTTATTTATACGCCTTATTATTAGCCTAGCTTATATAAAGCTAGGGGGCCTAGGTAACTAAGTTATACGTATTAAAGAAGACCGTCTCCTTAGGCTACTAGTAGAGGGTCCTTAGAACCTACCCTCTTAGTAGGGAAAGCTAACTTCTTAAGAGATTCCTTCTTATAGATAGGTCGGAATTCGAGAATAAATTAACCGAATTTTTCCTCGATAAGCTTAATAGTCTAATTCTTTTAGACTAGCCTTATAGGCTTAGACGTTATATCCTAGAAGATTCCTTCCTTTCGAAGAAGGTAAAAGGAAATTAAGCTCGTTAAAAATTAAGGGTAAAAAGCTACCCTTTTTTATTAAAGAATTTATATAGACCTATTAGGTAATTTTATCGTGAAATTCACCTTTTTATATCCCTCTATCTATATAGTTAATTCCCTAGTAATAAGGTATTCCCTTTATACCTTCTTAAAAGACCGGAATCGTAAGAGTATATTATAGATATTAAGGGAAGCACTAGAGTTAAGGATAGCTAATTTTTATAGGGGATAGTCGGAGGGTCCTAATAGGTAGTCTTACTAATTTATAGGAAAGATAAAGGCCGGATTTACTATACTAACGATTTTTCCTTGAATTTATAGCTTAAATAAGGGTAGCGGCGTTAGTTACTATTTCTTAGTAACCTAAATCTCGTCTATCTTCTTCTATAATAAGGGGTCCTCCTTAAGAGACTATTATACTATTTCTTATAGCCTCTTTAAAGGGTTAACTCCTTTAAGTTAGTTTTCCTCGAAGACCTACTAGCAGTCTTTTAGCTAATAGGGCTTTTTATATACTTAGTAAGTAGGTCGATTCCTCCTTATTTATTTCTTTAAGGAATCCTTAACCCGGTCTAGAAGGTCTACTTAAAAACCCCCCCTTTTTACCTCTTATTACTAATTTTAACGAAGAGGTTCGATTTCGACTAGTTCCTTAATTTTTTAACTAATAGACTAAAAAGTCTATTAAGGGACTAGTCGGGCCGGTCTAATAGACGGGACCGGGCCCGGAGTAGAAGGCGGAGCCGGGGCCGGGACTAGGGCAGCCGTTAAAGACAGGGTTTAATCTCTTAAGGAAGGAGGAGCTAAAGGAGCAACAGCTATAGTAGCGGGGGCTATAGTAATAAGGGCTATAGCAGCTATAGGTCGAACTATCTAGGTCGAGTGCTAGCTATAAAGGAATAAGACTACTTACTATTATACTCTAGCAGCCTCTTTATTTAGTTCTCGGCTAGCTTCTTAAAAGATAGTTAAGTAACTATTACTAATAGGCTTTATTAGTAGAGATATATCTAGTAGCTATTAACTAAAAAGAGCTTTTATTAGGAAGTATTTATTAGCTTCCTCGAGGATTTCTTTTTACTTAGCTAGCTATAAAGAAGCTAGTAGGTTCCTAGTAGAAAAGGCTCCTAGGTATACCGTATAGGTCTTCTTAATATAGTTAGTTATATAGCCCCTTAAGGGAGCTATCGAGGTCTTAAGCTTTAAAAGCTACTACCTAAGAGTCTCTTCCTCTTAAAGAGAGATTAGCTTTATAGTACTAACGGATTCTATTATCGCTATATAAGTAGTAGTTAATAGCTTTATCTTATAAAGGTATTCCTTTTAATAACTTTCGTAGTTACCTAAGGTAGTAGAAAAAGCTCTTTACTATATAGAGGTTAGCTCGGAGAAGAGGGTAGCTCCCTCTATAAATTCCGTTGCCCTAGGATAAAGAGGGGGCTTAAGAGGGTCCTACTTATTAAAGAAGACTAAATTATAGATAGTTCTATCTATACGAGCCTATAGCTCCTTTACCTACTTATCCTAATCTTAGGGCTCTACTAGAATCGTCCTATAGACTATAGGGACGGTAGAGGAGTCGGCTTTTATTATTATTATAGGGAAGGGTAGAAAAGTTAAGTAAAAATCGGCTTTTTAATAAGAAGGGTAAAAGGAAGCTACGAGGGATATAAGAAAGGTGCCTTTTATAGTAGCCGGAAGGTATAGGAATACTATTCCTCCTAGGCTTATAACTCTCGCGTAGAGAGATATAAGAAGTATATATAAAATATATAAAGGTAAAATTAAAAGTAAGGGGACGGATAGGTAGGGCTAAGCTATTTAATTCTTATAAGGGCAGTAATTAAGGTAAGGGAGTAATTATTATATTGCTTTAATTATCCTTCTTTCCTCTATCTAACGCCCCTTTTTATACCTATCTAGCATCTTAATTAATAAAGAAGATCCTACTTAAAGAAGCTACTAATATCCTTTTAACTACCGAGCTTTTTACTAGTTTTTCCCCTCCTTTTTAGCCGTTGCCGGTATATCCGTCTTATCTCCCGCTACTTATACTTCCCTTTATACTCCTACCCTCCTTTCTATACTTCTTTTTAGCTCCTTCTTCCTTCTTTTATACCAGGTGTTTTAGCTTCCTTAGTCCCTCTTACTAAAAGATATCTCTAAGAACTACGAAATTAGGCTACGCTTCGCGATAAACTAAGACTAGTAATATAGCCGGAAGATATATTAAGAGATAATATACCTAACTACTATATTAAGGCGTAATATCTCCTTATTATAGCGAACTTAATAATCGCCGGATCCTAATAATAAGAGCACTACTATATATACTAAGATTAAAGGATTCTAATAGTATAGTTAGATCTTAATTTAGTTAAGAAACTATTAAAGATCTAATAGTAAGACGTTAGCCCTATTTACTACTAAGAAGTAAAGCTATTACTAAACTACCCCTTAAATAGTATAATACTATAGCGCTTAAACTTATAATAATTATAATAGCTTTACTAAATTAAGACTAATTAATATAAGGAATATATTATTAGAAAGCCTACCTTTAAGATTACTTTTATCCTAAAAGATAGCGCTACTAGTAAAAGTACTATATATAAGAGCGCTACTAGGAGGTACGGGCTAATAAAGCACTTAGGTACGTAGTACTAATATATCGGTAGGGTATCGGCAGGGAATCGTGCCTACCCCGCTTATATATTATAGACTACTCGCTACTCCGATAAAAGAGGAGAAATCCCTCTTCTCGTAAGCTTTAGTCTTACGATAAGGAGAATATAATATATATAGCGTAGTATCTCTAGCTATCTCTACTACCTAACTAATTATACCGTGATACGTGTTCCCTTATACTATAGTACCTAAGCTACTTAAAGGGATGCCTTACTATACCCTCCTTTATAAGGAAGGTTATAAATATAACTTATAACTACTAGTTAAATAGTAAGAGTAGGTTATATAACCTTATTAATTATAAGTTCGACTCCCCTTAAGGTAAAAGAGTAGGTTATATAACTACGCCCTAAGGCAGGCGCGGGCAATAAACTTAGGGACCTAAGGGGAGAGAAAATAAGGGGCTTCTCCTTATATCCTCTCCCCTAAGTCCTAGCTTTTACCTTTTTATATATACTATTCTTTTTACCTAGCCCTATAATAGCTATATCCCTTATAAGAGGGGTTAATAATAATAGCCTTTAACTACTAAGTTAAGTAGTAAGAGTAAGTTATATAACCCTAATTAACTAATATTCGAACCCTCCTTAGGTAAGAGGGGGCGGCTAGTACGACGTACCTATATAGTACGGAGTACTAGCCGCCGAATAAACTTCCCTTTTACTATATTTACCTTCCCTTTTTTATAGGATATAATTAGGAGCCTCCCTTATTTTTAGATAACCTCCTTAAATAGATAATAAAGTAGCTGAATTTAATATCGGAATAGCTTTATATTTATTAGACCGAACGCTCCTCTACCTATTACCCTACTATCTAGAAGCTAGGGTAGTAAGGGGGTATATTAAGGAGAGTAGGTATAAGAGGCTATAGTTATACCTAATAGACCTAATAGTTATATATAAGGAAGCCTGCCTAACTAATATAACTCCCTTAGCCTAAGGATATTATATAAGCCTAACTTAGGTATAGGAATATCTTAATGCCCTCTTTTAGCTAGCTATATATAGTCACTATACCTATATAAGCCCCTCCCTTATCCTAATAGATAGACTAAGATATATATTACTAAATTCACCTTTCTATGCCCCTATTTCTTCTACCATGCTCTCAAGCCCCTGCTTGAGACTAACTATACAGCCATCGCGATTATGGAAAATGGCTCTTGCAGGCATCGTTGACGCTATTACGGGCGTTGAGTGCTTGCCCCGAGGACTCGTCAGACGTTACAGACGACTCCGAGGCCGTTGCCCGCTTCGAGGTTAGGCAGGAATACCGTCTTCAATACGGCGAGCCCTGTAGCTCAGGGGCCAAAACAGCGTTAAGGAAGGCTCCCATCACGGCTGGGTAATAGAGCTAAGCCGTCACGATGTTATACGACAAGGAGAAAGCTGCCGGTGCCGTGTTGAGAGCCGATGCATCGCAGAAACGCCTCCCTAATGGCCTCAGAAAACGGCCTCGCGTGGCATAATTCGCGCAGCCCCAAGACTGTATCAATTTATAATAGCGGGTTTCCACTGTGCTGCTATATGCCTTTCGGATTCGAGAAACGGATTGTGGTGAGGAAACTTGCCGCTGCAACTTGCCTCGTCTACTCTTTCTTTCCGCACCTATCGGCCAATGCCTCAGCGTTCCTATTCACCTTCTCGATGCAACCCCTGGCGTCTTTCCATGGCAGCCTGCCTCGGCTGATATCAAATAGCCGATAGACAGCCGGTACATCGATCCCGTCCATCAACAGGCTGTACAGTCTCATGTCGCTCCACCAGAACTTCCATGCTTCCCATCCCCAACTCCCCAGCCTTTCTGTGACTGCCGTGCCGGCCGCTTGATTCATCCACTCATACACGGACTTATGGTTGATTCGAAACCCCAGGTGAGGAACCGGCCTCAGTCGTAGCATGCTCACTACGAAGTTGTAGTGCGCATCAATGTCTGCTTTCATCTCCCCTGCACAAGGTAACAAGTAGTTCCCAGACCAGACGCTGGCCAGCGCCATTGTGGCAAGGTCGTTGAACGCCAATATCGGCTTCATCGCAAAGAGGTGGCCGAGTACTGCCAGCGACTCGGGATATCGTTCCGACAATATGCCCTGGTATAGACGCGGAAACGGGTCTTGCGGGTTGTAGAAAAGCGCCGAATTTAGTCTTTCATATCGATCCGGCGCATAAGCTGGATCTGCTGGGTAGCCGGGACCCTGAATAATGGACAAATCATAATGATAACCCGAACAGAAAATGATGGCATCCAGGTTCGTCATCTCTGCGCCATCCGTAAAAGTTACTGAACGAGCATCAGTAACCTCCTTGATCCCGTGGAATATCTCAACGCCTTCGCCCTTGAGACATGTTGGCAGATCATCCGAGAAAATGGGCTGGCGGTGGAAAAGGCCGTCCGCGACTCGTGGGGAAAGGAACGATTCGTGCGACTTCAGCCAGGGAAACGCCATGTTTTGAACAAGACGCATGATTTTGCCCATCAGAGAGCTGACGATGCGTGGGGATAGGGCTGCGGCGGAACGGAGAATAGTGCTCGACCGACGGGTGAGCCGGTGATCAAACGCGCGACCCCTAAACATGCGAGGTAGCTATGGCCGTTAGCATACACCTGACGACATAAGTGGAGGCAGTTGGGAGTGATTACGACGCAGTACTGGCTTCTATGGCTGAGATGGAGCTTCTGAACCCCGGCCCTTTTCAAGGCGCAAACAGCGTCGGCGCCCGTGGAGCCGATGCCGACGACGAGGACATTATTTCCTGTGAACCGACCTGGATTCTTGAGTTCACGGGAATGAACGATCTCGCCAGAAAACTTGTCGATTCCCTTGACTGTCGGTTGGTTCCTGGAGCTAAGCATGCCGGTGGCGACGACGATGCGATCAAACTGCCTGATGTCGTCCTTGCCGGATCTAGTGCTCTTAAGATGAACGAGCCAGGTGTTGTCGGTATCGTCACGCCGAACGCAAGAAACGACCGTACAGAGTTCTATGTGCCGCAAAAGATCAAAATGCTCGACGTATCCCTCGAGATAACTCTGGAGCTGGCTCGCGGTAGGATGAGTCGGATACTCTAATTCAAGTCTGTAAGCCGTCTTGACTAGATGTGGACAGCTCTACGTAGAAACCCACCATCGGGCATGGGGAAATCCGTAAACGAGGTCTATGAGATCGGCACTGTAAATTGCGCCAAAGGATCTGGACATGTGCAAGTGAATAGACTCACGGTCTCTTTGGAAGTGTTCATCACGGTTTCAACGAGTGCGGAAACCTGCCTCGGGTCCTGGGAGACATGCCACAGCCCGCCAAAGTATTCGTTGCGCTCGAAAGCCGTGACCTTGAGGCCCTGTTCTCGGAGATTCTTGATGGCGACGAGACCGAGGGCCCCAGCCCCAATGACGCAAACCCGGTCTCCAACCTGACCTCTTGGGGCATGCGACGTCATTTCTCGAGAGTGGCGGTTTCAGTGAGGATGGAAGCGACTGGGAAGAAGAAGTCAAACCCCAATTGCTGTCAGAAAAGCTTTCATGTTGCCATAGAGTGGGTGGATGAGACCTTGATACCGGTACGGGGGGGAGGGTTTAATAATACACACCTCGGTTTGCGGTATCTGTCAGAACTCAAATCACCTTAACCTGTACGCCGCATATAGACGAATAACATTCAATGTGCATTCGTATCCGAAGTACTTCGTCCGAAGTAGCGACTGGTTGATACGTTGTTGCCTTGGGCACATACAGTACATATATGTAGGAGGGGGCTCGCCCTGTAGGAGGTCCCTTCGCTTCTTATATGGATATATATGTATGCGTCTTTGAGAGCATGTACAGAGTATGTACATAAATCTCATGAATCCAAGGTAATGACGTGGCATTCTAGTACTGTATGGGAGTTAATCACATGCAAGCCAAGCCGATAGATTCTGCCGTATCACTGCCCATTGGGCACAAAGCCCACTAGATACAACGGCTGGGCCTCAAGGTACATAAGCTGACTGGCAGGGATTGCTGGCATCCCGGTCACGCGCTGCAGGGTGGTTACCTTGAGGAGTCAACTTACTGTACTTTCAGGCTCAAACTTGGTAGTATTGATGTCGTAGAATGATGCCTCGGCACGATAAGAGGGGCGTCTAGGCTCCTTAGGGTCTCTGGGATGGGCAGGGCGAGCCGAGAAGTGGTTTGCGGCTGAGATGCGTTTTCCCCTATCCAGCCTCATAGGGCAGAAACCTCATAGGACAGACGGTAAGTTCATGTAAAATTCAGATCGATCAAGTCAAACCATGCCACCCCACATTATTCGTACATGTATCGAGTTGATTTGTCTTAATATCGTTTGCAACCCTGGGCCTAGCCAATCAATCTCTCAAAGAGAGCCTCTCATCGACTTGACGCCGCCCTGCATCGGCGTTGACACGTGAAATCAGTGAGAGCGGTCGTTGGAAATGCGGTCGGGTTGAGCCTCAATCAGACTGCCGACACCCATGGCAAAGTAAAGCCCCGACCACCAATCTTCCATGACGAGGGCGGCAATGGCTCGGCCATATAGACGGCTGAAGTCGTGCGTGTGCCCAGATCGCATGATGTCGGCGAAGTGTGCGCAGTAGTGACGGTCCATGTGGCTCAAGAAGGTGCCACTGTCCATCTCTCCGCGGCGCAGGAGAAGGGGAAGGATGATCTGGTAGTTGACGACAGTTGCCGGGAGCAAACCAGAGTCAACGGCGTCGCAGACGGCTGTGTGGAGCATGACGGAGCCCGTGTATTCGGTTCCGGCGACGTGGACCTTGTAGGGATGGCTTCGACGAGGAACGGGAAGCACCTTGGCGTCGTCAGGGATGTGCCTCGGGATCAGGTCAGGGGTGTAGCAGTCGGCGAGGTCGGCCATGTTGTAGAGATCCAACGACTGCACGCTCGAGCACAGGTCATGGGCTAGCGAGTAATACCGCCACACGTCCTGACGGTGGTTGCACAGCTCCCATATGCATGCCCCAACAATGGTCATGCAACCTACATGGCGTTGTTCCGAGATGAAGTTGGCGTTGAGCATCCACAAGGTCCGCTCATAGCAGATCAGCAGGTCACCCATGGCCAGGGATCCGCGGGTCAGGGCCAAGACGGACTGACTGCACTCCTGGTAGCGCAGATCAGGCCCGATGTCGACCCAGTCGTTGACCAGCCCGGACAGCATCAAGTCGTCACGCCCGGAGACTCGTTCGGCAAACGACAGGTAGTGCGCGAAGCCGCCCGCGTCGACAGCCTTGAAGTCGCGCCAGGTATCCCGTTCGACATGGACCCAGGAGGTCAGCCCGTCGGTCGTCTGGTTGCGCATCGAGGCCTCGTGTGTGCGCTTGAGGTCGAAGAAGGTCATGTCGCAGAGCATGTGCGACCTGCGAACCTTGAGCTCGTCTGACAGGTTTGGCATGTCCCACAGGGCCATCACTTTCTGCATCAGGGGCGACGGAGACGGGCTCCCGTCGACGGCCTTGTCGACATTGTATTCGAAAAAATAGGAGTAGTCCAATATGCAAAGATAATCCAGGCGCCAGTCGTCAAAGTCGTGTAGCAGCAAGGCCATCCACCAGGACCCGAGGAAGACAGGATAGGCCGCGACACCGGTCAAGCCGAACTCGTCTATGACCTCGGCACAGGCGGGCGAAGGGCAAGCAACGACCTTTGACTTGGTACTGCGGCTGCCGTTGGCTCCCGCCCGTGCTCGGCGAAGCATGGCCCCACGGCATCGTCTCCGACAGTGACTTGTTGTGCCCAAACCCGCCGGCTGCGCTTTTCCGACAGCGACTTAGGGTCAGCCCTCGCTTGAATAATCTCTCGAAGTAGACCGAGTCCATTCTCCGTCATCTCAGCCAAGTCCCGCGACCAGGCCCCGAACGGCCCGCTCTGCGCCTCTTGGGTGAGCAATTGGCTGAGCCCGAGCGCCAGGGTGTAAGTGCGGCCGTCCCCGGTCTCAGTGAGCTCTCCCGTCCCGGAGAGTTTCTCCTTGATCCGGGAAATGTGTCTCGCCAACGGGCTATCGTCAGCGGATTTGCGGTTCCACAGCACCTCTAGCGGTGCCTTGGGCTGTCCACCCCATGCCGAGTGGACGCGTGCCGCCACGTCTGGGAGAGTCGCTTCTTCGGTATCTTTTGTGGTTGGGGAAGCCGCAAAATAGCGTGATAGCTTGGCAAAAGGCCGGGGCATAACCGAGGAAAGCGAGGTATAAAATGACATGTTTTCGAGCGGGGAAAAAAAGGGTTAGAGAAACGATTGGGTATCCCTCGCCTGCAACGGCTAGTAAGTTCTAAAGACAGCACTCAGTCGGAAGCATTTCCGAGGGCGTCACCTGAGAGCGTTGAGGTGGTTCGAGAGAAAAGAAGATTATTACGGCATATACTGCTCCTAGCGGTGTATATAAATATATATATATCTAGGCCCTGACTAGAGAGCATACACATATAGATAGGGAGCATATAAAATAAGTAGGACCGTATAATTAGGTATGTATATTCCCCGCGCCTATATAGTAGACTCTTTAACGTATATATTACTCTTTAACGTATATATCGTAAAGTAAAGCTATTTGTATATAGGCAGGCTGCTTACGTTATATATATATATATAGAGCTTAAGACTTAAAGATACGTTATTTCGTCGAATTAAGCCCTGCCCGCCCTGCCCGCCCTAATAGGCCCGCCGGCGGCGGTCTAGCCGCGCTATAAAGCGTATATCTATGAGAGCGCTACTAGGAGGTACGGGCTGATAAAGCACTCGGGTACGTAGTACCAATATATCGGCAGGGTATCGGCAGGGAATCGTGCCTACCCCGCTCGCATGTTATAGACTACTCGCTACTCCGACTAAAGAGGAGAAATCCCTCTTCTCGTAAGCTTTAGTCTTACGACGAGGAGAACATAATATATATAGCGTAGTACCTTTAGCTATCTCTACTACCTAACTAATTATACTATAATACGTATTCCCTTATAATTTCTAAAGCTTCCCTTTTTAGTTACTTAGTAGAGATAGCTACTTAGAGAAGACTATATAACGCTCCTATAGCGCGACGTAGTAGTTAACTAGTCGAGGCCTCTTTATTACGTATATTAAGTATCTACTTAAGAGATAAAGAATAGGAAGATATATCCTCGGAATAGACCCCTACTATAGACGGCGTTATAACTATATTAAAGATATCGCTACCTATAGGTATAAGATAACTATCTCGTAAGGAAAAGCTTATAGCCCTATAAGCGCGCGTTAAGGAGCTAGAGGAGACGAAACGCCTATAAGATCGCGTTATATAATTAGAGGAGGAAATTACTAAACGCGCTAGTACTATCGCTATCCGTTTAGGGAAGCGTCGATAGTCCTACTCCCTTAAATTAGACGGTAGTCGCGGTAGTAAGGTTAAGATTAAAAATATCGCTTAATTATCTTAACCTACTAATATATAGAAATATCTAAACTAAACTTACGATTTAAAGGACGCTTTTAAGGTAGCGCCTAGACGTTTTCGTTATAATAAAACGAAGATCTTTTACGTAGTAGATTATATATATAGCGACTATAAAGCGAGATAGCGCCGATACTTTAAAGAATAGACGCCGATCGACTAGACTAAATATAGTATAGATTAGGTATACTTTAAAGAATAGATACTTATTTTAATTAAGGATACTATAAATAAGGAGAAACTATTAGCGACGTAATTAAAGGAGGCTCGCTAATAAGAAGGCTAGTCCCCCCTAGAGTTTAGCTTATACCTTAACTCCTTAAAGAGGTATTTTAAACGCTTATCGGAAAAGGCGTATACTCTTATATTTTTCGCTAAGCTAGAGCTATAACTTCGAGACTAAATTAACCTTTATTCGATACCTATTTATACTTACTAATAGGAAGAGCTTATATAAGTCGCCTAACGATATTAAGATACTACTATTAATAAGAGGCGATATATTAATACTACTTCTACCCTTAAAGGAACTAGGAATAGAAATAGTACTATACTCTAAGGTAGTATATATAAGGGGAGGAATTAAAGAGGCTAATAAGCTAGGCCGAATCGTTAAGGAAATACTACTAATTCGACTAATAACTAGTAAGCTAGTAATATACTTACTAGGGGCTAAACTAAGGGACGTTATTAAGGAAGAGGATCTTTTACTCGATCGGGAATTATATATTTCTAATATAATAAGCTAGGATACCTATCTATAGAATATACTAATTCTTTAAAGGTAGAAACCTTAGTAAAGACTCTTAGACTTAATACTATAAAATAAGGAAAAGGTAAGATATTAAGGTAAACGCCTCTCCCTTAGTAAACTTAATACTTATAGGATAGTTACTTAAAACTCCTATAACGATATTAAGGCGAAACCCTACTAAAGTCCCTATATACTTAGATACTTATAGTACTATTAACCTTATAGATATATACTTTACCTAATAGTAAGGATTACTATAAGTAGCGCTATTATACCCTAAGTTATTAAGGCTTAATAATAGTAAGGTAAGGGAGTATAGAGTATAGTTAGTGCCGCTTTAAATAATAGATATAAGGGGTATTAAAAAGATAATTACTTATTTTTATATTAGTACCGATAAGTTAACGCTAAACGATTAAGTATTAATCCTTTTATTAGTTATTACCTTAAAGGATAAACGTATTTATATTATCCTATAGAAACGATAGTAGTAGTTTATATATTAACTAGGTAGCGAAACCCTATAAAATCCCTATAAATTCCTTTAAGAATATAAGAATAAGGTAAGGGTATATATAATTGTCGCGAAGCGTGGCCTGATTTCGCAGTTCTCGGAGATATCCCTTGGCACGAGGGACCTAGGAAGCTGAAAAACAGGTTTTGAGGAAGGAGCTGAAAGGAGGTGCAGAGAGGAGGGTGGGGGCAAGAGGGGAAGCAGAAGTGGCGATGGCTTCCTATAGAGGTGGCGAGAGATAAGACGGATGTGCCGGCAACGGCTAGAAAGGAGGGGAAAAACCGGCAAAAAGCTCGGTAGTCGAAAGGACATTAGTGGCTTCTTTAAGCAGGATCTTCTTTGTTAATTAAGATGCTAGAAGGGTATAAAGAGGGGCGTTAGATAGAGGAAAGAAAGACAATCAAGGCAATACAACAATCACTCCCATGCCGCAATTGCTGCTCCCGCAAGAATCAAATCCCTCTGCCCTGCCTGTCTGACCCTTACTTCAATTTCACCTTCGTGCATTTTCATGCACTTCTCGCATCTCGCGAGAGTTATGAGCCCGGGAGGAATAGAATTCCTATACCTTCCGGCTGCTGCAAAGGCACCTTTCTTGCATCCCTCGTGGCTTCCTTTACCCTCTTATTAGAAAAGCCGATTTATACCCGACTTTTCTGCCCCTCTTCCGCAACGATGACGAAAACCGACTCTCTGCCGTCCCTACGGTCCGTAGGACGATTCTTGCAGAGCCCCAAGATTGGGATAAGTGGGTAAAGGAGCTACGGGCTCGTGTGGACAGAACAATCCACAATTTGGTCTTCTCTAACAAGCAGGACCCTCTCGAGCCCCCTCTTCGTCCTAGGGCAACGGAATTTGCAGAGGGAGCTTCCTTCTTCTCCGAGCTAACCTCTACACAACAGAGAGCTTTTTCTGCTGCCTTAGGTGACTACGAGAGTCACCGTAAGGAATACCTTTACGAGACGAAGTTGCTAACTGCTGCACGCACGGCGATAACGGAATCCGTTAGTGCCGCAAAGCTAATTACTCTTCGAGAAGAAGAGACTCCTAGGCAGTGGCTTTTAAAGCTCGAGACCTCGACAGCTCCCTCGAGAGGGTATATAACTGACCGTATTAGGAAGACCTATACGGCACACCTAGGAGCCTTTTCTGCTAGGAACCTGCTAGCTTCTTCGTGGCTAGCTAAGTGGGAAGAAATCCTCGAGGAAGCTAACCAATACTTCCTCACAGAAGCTCTTTCCGGCCAGTGGCTACGGGATATATCTCTGCTAATAAAGCCTATTAGTGACGGTTACTCGACTATCTTTCGAGAAGCTAGCCGAGAACTAGACGAAGAGGCTGCTAGAGTACAACAGCAAGCAGTCTTATTCCTTCGTGGCCAGCACTCGACCCAGACGGCTCGATCTGCTGCCCCTGCAGCTGCTGCAGCCCCTGTTGCTGCGGCTCCCGCTGCTGCAGCTGCGGCTATTGCTCCTTCGGCTCCTCCTCCCTCGAGAGCATCAACACCGTCATCAACGGCTGCCCTAGGCCCGGCCCCGGCTCCGCCTCTTGCTCCGGGCCCGGCCCCGGTCCCGTTAGTCAGACCGGCCCGACTAGTCCCCCAATGGACCTTTTAGTCCGTTAGTCGAAAAATCAGGGAACTAGTCGAAATCGAACCTCTTCGTCAAAATCAGCAACAAGGGGTAAAAAGGGGGGGTTTTCAAGCAGACCTTCCGGATCGGGACGAGGATTCCTCGAAGAAACGAAAGACCAGACGAAACGGCTGCCTAGCCTGCAAATCCCTAGGCCATCGATTATCACAATGCTGGCAGGTCTTCGAGGAAAACCGACCCGAAGGATTCAACCCTTCAAAGAGGCTACAAGAAACGATACAACAGTCTCTTAAGGAGGACCCTCGTTGCAGAAGGTTGCTAAGAAATAGCAACTAACGCCGCTGCCCTTATTCGAGCCGCAAATTCGAGGAAAAATCGTTGGTATAGCAAATCCGGCATTCGTCTTCCCCACGGATCAGCAAGACCAACCGTTAGGACCCTCCGACTATCCCCTACGAAAATCAGCTATCCTTGACTCCGGTGCTTCCCTCGACATCTGCAATACACTCTCACGATTCCGGTCCTTTAAGAAGGCACGGAGGGAATACCTTATTGCCGGGGAATCAACCGTACGGATAGAGGGATACGGAAGGGTAAATTTTACGATGAAATTACCTAACGGATCTATACGAATTCTTCGACGAAAAAGGGTAGCTTTTTGCCCTCGATTTTCAACGAGCCTAATTTCCTTCCGCCTTCTTCGAAAGGAAGGAATCTTCTAGGATACGACGTCTGAGCCTACGAGGCTAGTCTAGAAGAATTAGACTATTAGGCTTATCGAGGAGAAATTCGGTCAATTTGTTCTCGAATTCCGACCTATCCTTAGGAAGGAATCTCTCGAGAAGTCAGCTTTCCCTGCTAGGAGGGTAGGATCCAAGGACCCTCTTCCAGCAGCCCAAGGAGACGGCATTCTTTAGCACGCACGACTTGGTCACCCGGGCCCCCTAGCTTTACATAAGCTAGGTCAACAACAAGGCATACGAATAAGGGGCCCAAAGACCGTCGAATGCGAACACTGCGGCCAAGGAAAGACCAGGAGACGAATTTCCAGACGAACGCCTTTACGGCCGGACTAGCCGTGTGAGGAAATTTGGGTCGATTGGACCGACGTCTCTAGGGATCAGGAAAGCTTCGTCAGGGTGATGTTTTTCACAGACGCTTTTTCAGGGATGGTTTTCCCCTATTTCTTACGGACCTACCTAAGCAAGCACAACTGGTCTGTTCTCCGGGACTTCGTTAACTGGATGAAATCCCACTTTGGCTACGAGGTAAAGAAGATACGGTCTAACGGAGAGCTATTTACGAAGGATATCTTAAATTGGCTTCGAAAAAGGGGCATTTTACCCCTCCCGTTAGCACCAAATACCCAGGCCCAGAACGGAGGGGCAGAAAGATCAGGGGGTGCTGTGATAGAAAGGGCCCGTACGATGAGACTTGCTGCAAGGCTTCCACACGACCTTTGGAGGGAAGTCGTTGAGACCGCCTGTTACCTACGGAACCGGACCCCGAGGGACCCTAAGGACCCTAGGGGACTAAACCAAGGAATAGACTGGAAATCCCCCCTCGAGCTCTTCACGAAGAAGAGGGCCTCGCTAGCCCACCTTCGTGCCTACGGCTGCAAGGCATACGCAATGACTGCCGATGCACAGCTAAAAAGGAAGAAGAAAAGAAAGCTTAATCCTAGAGCCTTTGTTGGTTACCTCGTTGGTTATAATTCTACGAATATCTTCCGGATCTAGATTCCTCTTCTACGGAAGGTTATTTCGACTAGGGATGTGATTTTCGACGAATCTAGCTTCTTCGACGGAAAGAGGGATCAACAGCCCCTCTTACTCTCTCAACGTCAGCTAATTTAGAAGATCCAAATTCCCCCTTCCCAACAGTCTCAAGAAGAGGCCCTAGACGAGGAAACAGAAGAAGAAACCGACGTCGAAGCAGTCGAGGATAACGCCGACTTCGAAGAAGAAGAAGAGGAAGCTATTAGATCAGATGATCTAGACGAAGAAGGAGACTATAGGAAAGCGGTAGAGCTAGAATACGCCTACCTACCTACGCCTCCTCCTACGCAAGAAGAAGATCTAGAAGCAGCTTGTTTAGTCAGTCTTCCCGTCTCGGCCCCTAAGGGGGTGGGAAAGGCACCTCTCTCGAAGGATTACCCGGCTGCCTTTTTATCCCTGCTTCGAGAAGCAAAGGAAGGTATAGGGCCCGATACGGATACTAAAGAAGACTAACCTCTCCCCTATTTCGATCGTTTTTTCGACCGTTTTTTCGACTTCTACCCAACGCTAATAGAAGACGGTTCCCACGGAGCGTTTACAGCAGGCCGGCTCTTTAAGCCACAGCTATTAGCAAGGAAGGTATATAAAAGAGACCTCCCGGACCCACCAGCAAACCAGAAGCAGCTAGAAAGACACCCCTTTAGAGACCAGTTTTTCCAGGCCCAGAAAGACCACCTAGCCTCACACGAAGAGATGGGGTCTTTCGAAGAGGTCCTTAAGGAAAAAGCAAGAGGAAAACAGGTCCTTGGCTGCAAGTGGGTCTTTATCTATAAGACTAATAAACACGGCTTCCTTCAAAAGTGCAAGGCCCGGCTAGTTGTCTGTGGGAATCAACAGGAAAAAGGGGATTTACCTACTAGGGCAACCACCCTAGCTGGGATGTCTTTTCGGACCCTTATAGCTATAGCAGCAGAATTCGACCTCGAGCTCGATCAGATAGATGCAGTTAACGCCTTTGTTAACTGCCCACTCGAGGAAGAAGAAGTTGTCTATATGCGCCTTCCACCAGGCTTCCAATAGCCAGGAAAGGTTCTACGGCTTAGGAAAGCTCTATACGGACTACGAAGATCACCCCTTCTTTAGCAACAGCATTTAATAGGTTCCCTTGAAGCCCTAGGCTTCACGAAAGTCCCTTAGGAACCGTGTATAATGCAAAAGGGTAAAATCACGGTCTTCTTCTACGTCGACGACATTATCTGGGCCTACCCGAAAGAGGAAGAAGCTGCTGCTAGGGAGGCTATACGAGGCCTGCAACAAAGGTATAAGATGACCAGGCTAGGGGAGCCAAAGTGGTTCCTAGGGATACGAATCCTTAGGAATAGGTCCCAACGGACAATCTGGCTTACCTAAGACGCCTATATCGATAAGGTCGCTTATAAATTCCTCCCTAATTCCCTCGATAAGAAGCTTCCCTCTACGCCTATGTCAGACGAAGAGCTTTTACCTGATCCGTCCTTTCAAGCCAGGGAGCAAGAGAAACACTAATATCAACAGAAGGTGGGCTCCCTGCTTTTTTCAGCTATTTCTACTAGACCGGATATCTCTTTAACGGTCTCCCGGCTAGCTAGGCATAACCAGAATCCTAGCCCTAGGCATCAAGAAGCAGCAGACAGAGATATCCTTTATCTCTATTCAACGAGATCACATGGTCTGCGCCTAGGAGGGCAGGGAAGGAAACAAGCTGCCGAAATCTTCCTTTGTTCGAGCGATTCGTCCTTTGCGGACAATTCCTTAGACAGAAAGAGCTCATAGGGGTACATCATGTCCCTTTTTGGAGGAACCATTGCTTAGAGAGCTTCGAAACAAGCTACCGTCACTACATCAAGCACGGAGGCAGAGCTACTAGCTCTTTCAGAAGCGTCAAAAGAAGCGATTTTCCTTAGCCGGCTACTAATATCGTTACGACTGCAAATTCCGTCCCCGTTAGCTATAGAATGCGATAACACGCAGACTATACGAATTCTTACGGAGGAAAACAGCAAGCTGTCGACCCGGCTACGGCATATCGATATCCACCAGCATTGGTTACGCCAAGAGGTCTAAAGGGGACTTATTTCCGTCCGTTGGGTTCCAACGGCATCGATGAAAGCCGACGGTCTTACGAAGCCCCTGCCGAAGCAGAAGCTAGCTGTCTTTTTATAGCAAATTGGGCTAGAAGACGTTCGAGAGAAGCTGTCCTTAGAAGCCCGCCTTGAGAGTCTACGAGAGGAGCTAATGGCACGCAGGAGGAAGGAGACGTCTGCAGCCGAAGAGAGGAATTAGGACTTGTCCTAGAGGAGGGCCCCTAGCTTGATTGGGACTAGTTCTTCTTAAAGGCCCCTTTTAGGACTTGTCCTTAGAGAAGCCCCCCTTTCTTGCAGGACTTGATTTCCTCCTTAAGGCCCCTTTTCCTAAAGTAGGTCTAAAAGAGCCCGGGGCCAAAACCCGGATTTCTCGAGTAGGGGATAAGTGTAGACTGAGACCTCCTCTATACGCTCACCGGCCTAGGTATTTAGCTTTACCCTTTCTATAAGGGCAGGCTATAGCTAAGGGGGTGTGTCGCGAAGCGTGGCCTGATTTCGCAGTTCTCGGAGATATCCCTTGGCACGAGGGACCTAGGAAGCTGAAAAACAGGTTTTGAGGAAGGAGCTGAAAGGAGGTGCAGAGAGGAGGGTGGGGGCAAGAGGGGAAGCAGAAGTGGCGATGGCTTCCTATAGAGGTGGCGAGAGATAAGACGGATGTGCCGGCAACGGCTGGAAAGGAGGGGAAAAACCGGCAAAAGCTCGGTAGTCGAAAGGACATTAGTGGCTTCTTTAAGCAGGATCTTCTTTGTTAATTAAGATGCTAGAAGGGTATAAAGAGGGGCGTTGGATAGAGGAAAGAAAGACAATCAAGGCAATACAACAATCACTCCCATGCCGCAATTGCTGCTCCCGCAAGAATCAAATCCCTCTGCCCTGCCTATCTGACCCCTTACTTCCAATTTCACCTTCGTGCATTTTCATGCACTTCTCGCATCTCTCTTCGCGAGAATAATAGCGCTTAATCCTAAGCTAATCCCGCTACTAGATAAAGATAAGGATAAAGGGATTTTATAGGAAGAATAAGCTAAAATCCTACTAACTCTCTATTAGTTTAAAGATACCTTCTTAGCTAATAAATCCGACTTACTACTAGCTAGAAAAGGAACGGATTACTTAATTAATTTAATCCTTAATACGGAACCCTTTTATAGACCGATTTACCCTTTATCGTAAAGGGAACTCTAAGTATTACGCGACTAGATCTAAGACGTAATAAAAAGGAAAATAATCTAGGAGTTAAAGAGCCTAGCTAGGGCGCCTATCCTTTTTATTCTAAAAAAGGATAGCACCTTACGGCTATATATAAACTACCGAGGACTTAACTAGGTTATATAAAAGAATCGGTACCCTTTACCGTTTATTTCGGAGATTATTAACCGCTATTAAGGAGCTAAGTATTTTTCTAAGATTAATATATAGAATGCGTATTAACGTATTTAAATTTAAGAAGGAGATAAATAAAAGACCGCTTTCCGAATATATTATAGATATTTCGAATACTTAGTAATGCCCTTTAGACTTACTAACGTACTAGCTATATTTTAGAGCTATATTTATTAAGCGCTTAAGGGGCTTATAGATATAATCTATATAGTCTACCTCAACGATATCCTTATATACTTTAAAATAAGAGAAGAATATATTAAATACTTAGAATAAGTAATAAAAAGGTTAAAGGCTATAAAGCTCTATATAAAACTATTAAAGTATATCTTCTATTAATAGTTAGTTAAGTTCCTTAGGTTTATTTTATCTATCGATAGGGTATCGATAGACCCTTAACGGGTAGAGGTAATAGCTTAATAGCCTAAACCTATAACCTACTATAATATTTAGGTTTTCCTTAGGTTCTATAATTTTTACCGACGATTTATATATAGGTACTTAGGAGTTATAGCGCCCCTAACTATATTACTAAAGGGGAGTAAGAATAGGAAGAAGCTAGGGAGTATAGAGCTAAACCTTACTAAAAAGGCAGCGTTTTAGGCTCTTAAGGATGCTTTTTAAGGAGCCCTACTCCTCCGATATTACGATCTAGAAAGACGTATTTATATCGAAATAGATATATTATAATTCGCGATAGTAAGGATTATCTCTTAACCTAATAATAAAGGACGTTACTATCTAATCGTATTTTAGTTAAGGAAGTTTACTAGAGCTAAACTTAATTATAGTATTCTAGACTAAGAACTATTCGCTATCGTTAAGTTATTTAAATACTAGCGATATTATATTAAAGGGGCAGCGTATAAAGTAAAGGTATTATCGGACTACTATAGCCTCTAAACGTTTATATACTAGACCTCCCTAAATAGGAGGTAAGTAAAATAGTATATATATTTAGTACTATTTAACTTTACGATTAAGTATTATATAGGTAAATTAAACCTAGTAGACGCGCTATCGAGAATGCCTAGATATAAGGGCGAGAAGCCCTTATTTATAGAACTATTACTAGAGCTATAAGCGAAGCTAGCTACTATTAACACCGTATCTATATAAAGAAATAATAAGGCGTTTTTATAAGTAAAGAGATACTTAACCTTAAGTTAATATAAGCGTAGTAAAGTGCCTTTATATAAGGAAAATATATAAGCTTATCTATAGCGAAACTATAATAATTCGGGCGTAAGACTTAAACGATTAGCCGATTAAGCTAAAGAAAGAGCTAGTTATAAATAGCTACTCTTAAGGAAGACCGCTAAAGAAGCGGCCTACTATATAAAGGTTTATATAGTAGAAGTTCTAGAACCGTTACTAGAGTTACTAAAACGTACTTAGTTAGTTACCGTAGCGATTAATAGGCTAAAAAAGACTAAAGACTTCTTAAAAGGAAAGGGTTTCTAGTTAGTACGCTTAGATAGACTACTACTATAAAAGGGTTATATCGTAGTGCCTTTAAAGGCAGCCTTATAGTAAGAGCTAATATAGCTCTTCTATAACGATCCGTTAGTAGGATACTTTAGCTCTTAATATACTAGCGAACTACTAATAAGGAACTTTTACTAAGATAGAATAATAAAAGATATAAATAAATACGTTTAGTTATACTTAGTATATTAAGGTATAGTATCTAAGAGGCATCGCCCTTATAGTACTATATAATCGTTACTATATCCTATATAACTATAGGAAGAATTATTAATAGACTTTACTATAGGTCTACCTAAAGTATAGTATAATAAATAAGACGTTAATACGATCTTAGTAATTATAGACCGATATACTAAGTATTACCTCTTCTTTCCTATCTCTAAGATAATAATAGCCCTAGAGCTAGTAGAATTATTCTATTACTAAGTTAAATTAGTATATAAACCTCCGAAAGGCATTATCTTAGATAAAGGGTCCCTATTTATAAGTAAGTTTTAGTTAGATCTTTATTTTATCTTATAAGTAAAACATAGGCTATCGACGGTATTTTACCTATAAACTAATAGGTAAATAAAATAAATAAACTAAGCTATATAGTACTACTTAAGATACTTTACTAACTTAGAATAAACTAACTAAGCGTTACTCCTATATATTGCTTAATTTATATATAATAATATAAAGAACGCGATAACTAGGTTATTACTTAACGAAGCGTTAATAGGTTACTAACTAAACTTCTATATTAATACTAAGGACGATATTATTTAAAGGGGGGTACCTAAAGTAAGAGTAAGAGTTACTAGGCTATAAGAGCTATAAAAGAAGCTTAAGGAATACTAAGAAAAGGCTATTAAATCGTAAGTAAAATACTACGATTTAAGGTACTAACCGCTTATACTAAAAGTAAGAGACCTTATAGTATTATCGATAAAGAACTTACGCCTTAAGGACGAAAAAAGAAAACTCTTACCTAAGTATATTAGACCGTTTTAGGTCTTATAAGCTATTAGAAAGTAAGTATATCGTCTTATACTCCCTAAGAAGTACTTATGCCTTTATAACGTTTTCTATATTAGTCTCTTAAAGCTATAGAAGGAGCGTAAAGGCACCTATAAAGATAGTAAAACCCTATTAATACTAGACTTAGAGGACGATAAAGGTAAATAGGAAGTCTAAGAGATTAAAGACCGAAAGAGATTTAAAGGTAATACCTTTTTCCTTATTAAATAGAAAGGATAGCTAGCTAAGTATAACTAATAAGTCGAGGCTAAAGATATAGTAAATAGCTAAGACCTTATTAAAGAATATACTACTTACTTAACTAGGAAAAAGAGGCGTAAGACTAAGTAAGGTAGGGAAACCTACTAGCGTAGGGAGACGCTATTAAATTAGTAACGAATCCCTATTAAA